AACCAAAAGATACCATGTGATACCTCTTTGATTTCCAATAAGTGCCTCTCGGAAATCACAGAGAAAATGCGATTTCTATTTTGACAGATGCTTTTTGCCTCCTGCAGATACTTTTGATTATTCCTTGAGTCTCGAGAGAAAATCAATTTTTAATTCGACAGCTGTCGCTGGAAATTGATCTGCTGCCGCAGCGAAAAGCTGCAAAAGTATCTCTTGAATGCACATTTCTTCATCGCACTTTGATTAGAGGGAAATGAACCCATGCCAAGTCATTCATTCGATTGCCAACTCATATTTCAAAGGCTGGGGGATAAAAAAAAGGGATAAGCCCAGCTCCTTTTTTATCATTTTTCTTGGTTGGTGGTCCCCGCGAGTGTTTAATTAAAGTTCTTCTCGCTGCGTGGGTGGCTGCAGTTTCTTTTGTGATTTTTATATATATTCTGATACTTATTTTGCTGCAGATTATTTCCTTTCTGTACTTTGAGAATCAGCTTCCATTTGAATTTTCATTAAAAATCTTTCGGCGGATGTGCAGCGAGTTCGAGGGAAAAAGCGAACGTTGTGAGCGCATTTAAATGTTAATTTTGTTTGGAAACACGTGCACAAAAATGTAAGTAAACCTTAAAAACACTTTAAACGAGGTAGTCGATGAGGAGATACCCCTTTTTTTCTAGGTCAACTTAAAACCAAACTTTTTTAAATATGGTTGGTGACATATTATTCAAATTAATACATTTATAGGGGATTTTCTATTATATAAATCCACATACCAAAATTCATGTCTTTCGTAGTTCGATCTCAAAAGTTATAGCACCTAAAGATATGAATTTTGGGATGTGAACATCTAACGATATTTTTTACCAATAGCAGACTCTATATACCCTTAAAACCTACTAGGTATAAAAACGAAATATAAAAACAGGCCGACAAAGCTCAAAGAAAGATAGTGTTGAATGTCATTAGCGCTCTGTCGCCCATGGGTTCTCAGTTCTGAGTGTCGAGCCGAGTTGGGGGAGTGAAATCCAGTTAAGTCGAGAAATAAAACCGAATAAAAAGTGGTCAGGGGGAAAAGTAGATAAGAGAAGAGCGGGCGGGGTCTTACACATCCGTAAGTGGCCAAGTTGATGACCGGAAACGGCAACAGTTACACATATGTGAAGAAACACCTGAGGCTCTGCCGGAGTTAACGAAGAACCAAGGTGGAAAAGTGGGAAAAACTTGGTGCCCGGAGGTGGGGGGAAATGGTACCTTTTCTGGCTCTTGGCGGAATTGATTGTCCACCCACACAATGCGGCACGAATGACACAGCTGGGCACAGCTGCAGCTTTTTGAATCCGGCTCTCAAGTTCAGGGCAAAAAATTGGCAATTCAAGCGCAAAGCTGTCAACTGTGAAAGGAAAAGATGGTAGAAGTCCCACTGATTTGAGATGGTTTCACTGAACAGCTACAAATATGTTTAAGGTTTAGTTAAAAAAAAAGAATATAAAAAAACTCTTTAAACCTAAGTTCCACTTTAAATTATAGTAAAATTCCATGGATATCTTAGAAATTTAAAGTTTCAGGAAAATAAATAAAGAAACAAATTTGGCATTGCTAAAATGTTATTAAAAAATTCAAAAAATGAACCGTGGTCAAAGAATTTTGAATACAAAGTCTAAAACTTCCCATCAGAACGCTCTTTTTTTGTCTATTTGAACTATGAACCTTTTTGTTTGCTGTGTAAACTGGGCATTTTTGCAAATGGGCCAGCAGCATGCACAGATTTCTTTTAGTTTCGTTGCAAATCGCTGCAGATGCGGCGTTTAAAAATAGCCAACATGTCACCAGCCAAGCAACGAGCCCAGTAAAAAGAGTGCAACTGCATCGAACTGACAGGGCGGAAAAAATAACAGCTGATTGGGGGTGTACGAATGAACATGATAGAGGGTATGAATACCCTAACATATTTGAAAATTTTTATATTTTACTAGACTGCACCTTCGCGACTTTGTCCAAGTTTAAAAAACTGTTTTTAACAAAAATTTGAATGTAGATATTAAGATAGTTTCGGGATCCAATAATTTTGGTTAGCATTGTAGAGCTATTCGGAATTACGGAAAAATCTATCATAAAAATGGGTTACAATTTTAACGTTTTCTTAAAAGAAGTATTTTAATGTAGAATAATAGAGAATTCAACCCCGAATTTATAGAGGTATTACTCGTTAAAATCGGTATCCAATTATCCAAGTTATGGAATTTAGATGGGCAGATATGGATCCCCATTCTCAAAATCATTGGAATTACGGAAAAATCGAACATGAAAATGGGTTAAAATTTGGACCCTCGAGTAATAGAGATATTTTAATGTAGAATGTTAGCGAATTCAATCACGAACTCATTGAGGTATCCCACGTCCAAATCGGAATCCAATAACTTAAGTTATGGATTCCAATACTGAAGGCCATTGGAAATACGAAAACATCGTAATTGAAAATGGGTTTAACTTTTGACCTTCGCTAAAACGAAAAAATTGATTGTAGATTATTATAGAATTCCAACACAAACTCAAAAAGGCACACGTCGCGGGATCGTATAACTCAAGCTATAAAATTTTTAAATGCAGTTTTGGGTTTCAGTATTGAAAGCCATGGGAAGTACAGAAAAATCGATTATGAAAATGGGTTAAAATGTTGACCTTGTTTAAAAGAAAAATGATAATATAGACATTAGACAATTTAACCACAATTATGGAGGTCTACTTCTCCAAAATCGGGATCCAATTACCCAAGTTATGAAATTTATAAGTACAGTCTTGGGTTTCCACTTGTTTACATTGTATACAGACCATATAGGGTCTTATAACATATGTAGTATTTTTACTTAATTTCACATTATGATCTTAAGTTCCATAATTAGGAGATAACATCATACAACTTTGGTTATTGTTTTTGTTTATTACATACCCCTTAATATATTAATATACTCCCGATACATTGCTGATTCAGCTGGAGTCGTTTTGAGTTTCCAGGTCGTGAATTTTCCGCAGCTCCTCCGCGGATTCCGATTCGCTTTGATAAAGCGCGCCCACCGAACGTTTTGGGGCAATGGATTCACTCCAGACTTCATGTGCCGATGCCTGCAATGCCGGGTGACAATTGGAGTGGAGGGGCTGCAGTCCGCAGGGGAGGAAGGGGAGGATCTGCAGTGGAGGTGCTAGTAGGAGGTGGGCGGGATGGGAATGGGGAGGGACGCTTGTCGTGTGCGTGATGCGCATGAGCGAAGCGTCATTGCGCCTTAAATGGGAGCAGCACAACTTGAAGCTTGCAACACGGCTCACAATGATGCACTGCAGCACACAGAAAAAAATGGAAGATCAATTGAAAATGTTCCATTTTAAAGTGTACAAAATCTTGTCATGTCGATACATTGTACGTTCTCTTTTATAGTGCTCCAGGCTATGGTGTTTTTCATAACAAATACCTTATATTTACGTGATCTGTTTGCTAAAGATGGCTTTACTCTTTTGCGTTTCATTTTGTTTTAGATATATATTTGGTTTGGAATAAGATAAAAGGTTCACGAATCCGAAAAACTCGGGTCACGGTCTGTCATATCATTACTTAGTTTGTGTACTTATAGACTTTATAAGGATCGTAATATGGGTTGCAAAACTGTCCGAATTTTATTATATATATATATTAAATATTAAGATAATATATGATTAAAAGAAACTGCGATATTTTATCTCTGTGTAGGCACAGAAAATGTAAAGGGAGGAGTAGTTGAGGTACCAAGACGGCAAAAAAAAGGGGGAAAACAAAGAGGGGATTTTGATCGCACGGAGTGGGCTGGCAATTTTTAGACATTTCTCATTGTGCTTATTGGCATTTGTCTGTGCAGCGATGCGTTTATTAAAGTCGGGGGTGCTCTATGGAATATAGGAATGGGATTCCCTTCCTCCTCCCTCCCCGTTTACCCCTATCCCCTCACATTATGTTGCCAAACTGAAATTGGCGTTGCCTTTTTTGGTAGCTCTTTTGGGGTCGCCCCTCTTTCGACATTGACAGACCCATAATTCTTGAAAGGGGCCAATGTATCTCCCTCCCAAACCCCCTTTTTAGACGTCTCCTTTTGTGAATTATTGAAATTGCGCAGTTTTTGCGATTGATCTCTGACTGAGCTGCAGTTGCAATCGGCCTGTTTTGCTTCTGGTTCGTTTTATTGGCATCGCAGGGAGTCGGGATTCAGGGTCAGATCCGATTCCAGACTTTGCCGGCAATCAATCAATCAGAGAAATAACCAAGATATCGCCAGGAGTCGCATGCCTCCTCCTTCTTCCCCTCTCTCTCTTCCCAGTATTTTTTGTATTCCCATCTTTTGCAATTGTTGGGAAAGTCAATCGAAAGACTTCATAGGGCCACGTCAGATGGGCTATTGGGATATTTATGACAGGGTCTGACACTACCAGTCACGAAGGAGCCCAACAGAGATTCAACCAAAAGTGTTTTACAGGAGCAGGGAAAATGGAAAAAACATCAGTAAACAAATACATTTTAAAAAGAAAGTTCCCTAATCATTGGCTTTAAAAATTATTAAAACTAATATAATAATAATAATATTTTTTAACACGAATATATTTTTAAAGCAATTTATAACATTTAAATTTCACATTAAAATGTAATGTAAAAATCAAACCAGCTACTAATCTGAATAATCAACCGGTAAACACATTTTGAAGACATCGTTAACCATTTTTAATTGAATTTTGCAGACCTATCAACCATACATACAAGTTTTAATCAAACGAAAATTGAATATTACAATTTTTTATAGTTGTACATAACATTCCTTAAAAAAAAGAATTTCGGTGACTCTATCAAACCAGTATAAATTTAAAATCAAAACAAAAACGCTTTTCACAACACCTTAGGTACATTTCTGTCCTTTATTGGTAATTGTTTACCTAGTACATTGAATACATTATTATATAGTACAGTTTTAAAGTCAAAACAAAAACGCTTCCTACAAGTAAATATTTTATTAATCACATTAGCCCAGTTCTGTCCTTTATTGGTAAGTGTTTACCCAGTACATTGAATCTTAATATGTTCACCAATGACCTCTAAACATGCAAATGTAGATTCTTCTGATAATAATTAACTTGGTTTCCAGCCCCAGCATCCTCCTGGACAATCTTTAGCGGGAGGTCGCGGCATCGCAAGTGCTAGCAATGCAATCCCTGTAGAACGTTTTTTATTGTTATTCAGTTTTTGTTTAAAAAACGGAAAACTTACCAATAAAGATCACAAAAGAAAAAAAGTAGCCCATAATATCAAGTCCTCTAGAGTTTCTAATGCATTAAACGCCTTTCAATTGAAACAGGGTTTTTATAGACCAAACAAATTATTGCTGGAACATTTCTCATTTGCGATTATGCACGGCAAATTAAAACTTCACATTAAGTAATTAATTTAGAAACTAATTTACACCTTTAACCTTTTAATTAGATGAAAAGTTTTTTTTTTATCATTTGCGTTATTATAAAGTATTGTTTTAAATCAAAAAACACAAGAAAACATTTTTTAGACCTTATAAATTAAGATCAGTCTTTTATTAGCAAGAGTTCACATAGTGCGTTGAATTTGAAAATGTTCTTAAAAGGTTGTTCTTGCTAGGTAAAGGCTTTTATTAAGATAGTTGCCAGCCCTTGCATCCTCCTGGACAATTTTTAAGTGGAAGCTGCGGCATCGCAAGTGCTAGCGATGCAATTCCTATAAAAGATTTTTTTATTAATATATCTTGTATAATAATATATCTCGTTTACTAGCCAAAAACTTACCAAGGAAAGTCACAAATGACAAAAAGTTGGCCATAATACAAAGTCCTCTAGATTTTCTTAAACAATGGAAGCCTATCAACCGAAACAAGGGCTTTATAGATCAACAAAATTAGTGCTGGAACATTTTTCATTTACAATTTTGCACGGCTAATTAAAACTTCATAAAGTATACAATTAAAGGTCAAAAGGTACCATGATATATGACACATAGTAAAAATGATATGACTTTACGGTATCACAAAAGTTATACTGACATGGATCCATTAAATTTTCAGACCAACGAAAATAATTCTCGCTCGCCCTGATCTGTATCATGTTTCTCTATGCCATATAAGCTCATTTCAAAATTACGTAGCACTAATATCCATTCAAATTCCATGCCAGATTACAGTTTCGATCTAAAGTCAATGCCAAAACATAAAATAAACAAACCACACATCCACAGAAAAATGTTTTTTTTTCGAAATCAGGCTCCGCTGAAATTCCATGGAGAATTCGATGGAATTGTAATGAAAACATAAAATGGGACACCGCAGAACCGAGCGTGAGGATGAAAGGAAATCAAAACCAAAAACAGAAACTGTGGGGGAAATCAAAACGAACCGAGGGGCTCCAGAGAAAGATCCCACAGAAATCTGGGAATAAAAAAAAAGAAATGAAATGACACTTAATGCTCCACTCCACAAAAAACAAAAGGAGAATGAACGGAAAAAAAAGAGTTTGCCTCGAGAGAAGCGGGGCAATAAAATGGCCAATTATGACAAATTTCGAAATGAATGCTGGTAATGCTCGAAAAGCATTTCAATCTCTTTCCACTCGAGAACCTCTCAACGTCATCATTAGCACCCGTAAAACCTCCACCACCAGCTAAGGCTGTAAAACCCTTTCTTCTGGCCAGCAATTACGTCATTTTCTACAGCATTTTGACCCGATTTCAAATAAAAAATGTACAACTTTGTTGTGTAGAAGAAGTATAAAATGTGGATACTTGTATATCAAAAGTAAACTGAAACCAAAAAAGTAAAGAAACTAATTAAACTTTCTTCCCCGTTTCATATGCATTATAGGAAATCTCTTAATTTATAAGTTCCCTAAAATATTATTTTCAAAGGAACCTAAATTAAGTTAATATTTTAACAAATCTCTAAACTTCCATAAAAATATACAAGACAAAAAAAATTATATACACCTTGAACCTCTAAAAATCCAATAAATAAAACTTGTTTTCTCTAACAATGCAGCTTAAATTATAGTCCTCTATAATAGGGTAACCAATCTGAAAGATCGCTGAAAGAGAGAAGTCAATTCCCCTGCCAAGCATTTAGCCTAGATTCGGTTTGAATCTTGCAAAGTTCAGATTGTGGGTCAAGTAATTTCCGACTCTTCCGCCTTCTCCACCTCCATCCGTATTTTTTTTTTTGGATCTCCTCCTTCTGCCAACCGATCGGCAATTATCCCGCAAACGATTTTCACGACTTTTCCTGATCTTCTTTCAAGTCTCCTACCATCTATCTCTCCTTCTCTTTCTGTGGAACAAATTTATTTTACCTCAAAAATAACCATTAACAATTTTTCTTTACTAATCTTTGCATCTATTGGCCTGGCCAATAACTTCAACTCTTTCTCTTCCACCACACAAAAATCCGATCAGAGTAAGAGCAAAAAGTTTTCCATTAGGAAAAATTGCTTTAGGAAAATGGTTAGCAATGTATAAAAATGTCAAAGATCGCATCGTTCGAATTAATGATCGGTACCGTGGCGAAAGAGAATTGGTGCACAGAAAAAAATAGTTGGGCCGAATGACTTTAGCGCCCCTTCTTTTTTAAATATTAATTTAAGTGTTATATACTAGATTTAATTTGTTAAAATAAATAAATAAGAAAAAAAAATAGTCGTATTATATGTATTATTCATTCTATTCTGTTTACCAATTTTTTTTTTCATTAGGAACCTTTTGAAATTTTACAAAAATGGTTTTGGTACTTTTTAAATACCATACAAAAGTTCTTGAGTTTATTAGTAAAATAAGCTTAACATTTTAACCAACAAAATTAAAACATATGCCTATTCTTTGGTATTTATTTACCAATTTTTGTCCAGGTACTGCAACCACCTGGACAACCATCATAAGGAGGAGGCGCAAGTGCTAGCATTGCGATGGCTAAAAAATCAAAGACGGATGTATTTAATTATTCAGTTTCAGTTCATTGCCCTAAAACATACCAATAAAGTGTACGAAGAGTCCAAAGTTGGCCATAATATTCTGCCCTCGAGATTATTCCCGGAAATACAACGATTTTGGTTTTAAACATGGTTCTTATAGATTCCAAAAATTAGTGCTGGAACATTTCCCATTTACGATTATGTATAACAAATTGGTATATTATTTTAAAGGTCAGATGAATTAAAAGTAAGTATCTTATCGAGAGAGAGATTATATCACTAATTTTATATTATTACTATACAAAATTACCAGATTCTAAACATAAAAATCTGGTATTTTATTTTCTAAGAAGTTAATTCTGGGATTAGCCTTGAACATTTTTCTTTGTGTGAATGGGTTAAGAAAGTGGGTGAGGATAGACTTTGGCTACAGTTTGGTAGCTGAAAAGCACTTAATGACGTCATTACAAGCCAGCACAGCACGTGCTCTTCCTCTGGCAGAGTAGAGAAATGAAATAAAAATTCAAATTTGAATTTGAATTCAAATTTTCTGCTCAGGGGTGTATCAAGTTCCATGAATATGCAAATTGCTAAGAACCGCGGGGGTATAGAAGTTGGGATCGTGGTGATGTTGTCGTGCGTGAATTGTAAATAAATTTATTGCGCTCGCAATTTTTCTCTATCTTCCTGCCGTTGTTTCAACTTGTTGGCTTACACTTTTGGTTTTAATGGTTGGTTCATGCAGAGTTTGAATAATAGTCGCAGTTTCCCCATTGTATCTATGGGGGGAAAAACATACATAAGTAATTTCAGTCTGGCGAGGGTTGCCAAATTATTATGGTGAATGGTGAAAATACCCACAATGACAAATGATTTATAAAGCCCTGGGGCAAGTATTCGGATTAGATGGGAATCGGAAGTTCTAAAGTGACAATCCCCAACGAAAATCGATTTTAGCCCGAAAAGTATTCAAATTGAAATTAATGAACTTGGCAAAGGAACTTGAGTGGAATACCAATTATGGGAAAACATTGCCATAGAATTTCTTATGGTATTCCAAAATGGATTTATATTATAAGTTATACAAATATCACCTCATATAATTACAATATTTTGGAACCCATTTGTTTTTAATAATTAAGAATTTAATTATCAGGTCAATGACCAGCAGTTTTAAGCTTCATAAATACTTGGGAATTACTTCTGTTCTGTTGAAATACGAACATTTGAGATGCCTGCACAGAAGCAGCAACGTGGAATATATCACAATTCGTAAAGGGGAAACCCCTCCTCAAAGGCATTCGATTTCGATTCTCTGGATCCGAGAACTGGATACTCCTCCGGTCATGGCCATGGTCATTAGTCTGGTCGTTCGTCTCAGAATTCCTCCATCTGGCATTTCAATTACAACAGATCCAGCGCGATCTAGACCTAATTGATTGACTGCGGCGCAGGAAGGTGCTGATAATATTTATACCACGTACGATTTGGATCCTCTGGCTCCCGCACAGAATGCAATTAAATTGCATTTTCCACAGAGAACAATGAGCAATTTTCAAAGATTTCCACGCCGGCACTCAGCACGTTTCCTACATAAACCATAAGCACCAACAAGTAGAAGATGATGATGATGGCGGTGTGCAGCTGCTCCAGCTTCAGCTTCATCCTCCTTTCCAGAGTTTTCACAGTTTTCAGAGAAGGAAAAATTATCTTGAAGAGGGCAGGAGGCTGAAAACGGTAAACACGATTCGCAAAAGAAGTAAAGAGGGATCGCGGTGCAAGTAACAAGTGCAACGTGGCACATTTTCGAAAGCTCCTCCGCCACTCACGATTTTCACCCCAGGCAAAAGCCACCAGGCAACATCTATTTTCCCATTCCCTCTGCTCGTCGGGACAACTGGGGTCTTCTTTATATCTGAGGGCGTTTGTAACAAGGAAAAATAATTAATTCCCCCAACTCATAAACATTTTAGGATCAACAGGCCAGATCAACGAAAACTATTAAACAATCATTACGCATTAAAATGTAACCTCATGTTAAAATAAAATCATTAAAAAATCGAATTTTACAACCTGAACTATCATTATAAAAATCTATTTTTTATAGAAATAGAAATATAAATTGAAAACAATTTTATTTTTTAATGTATGGTATGATATAAAACTTTTAACAGAACAAGAAACGGACCTCTTATTAAAAACCAAACCAAAGTTAATCTTATCATCTTCCTTTTAGAGGCCTTGAGACCTCATGACACCTGCTTGATTTTTGATTTTCTAACTTACTGGCAGTGTATAGATACAACTGTCTACAGCTTAAGAACATCTTATAAACTAAAATACTAATATCAAAAAATGTTTTGGTTGCCCGGACTTTAAAAATAAAGTTAGTTCGTTGGTCAAAAAGCAAGCAAGTATCATAAGACCTTCAGTCAAGTATTAGATATCTGTACCACTAACTACATATTTTAACCACTATAATTTGATGAACAAGAGAATGTAATAAAGTAAAGGATACCTTCTTAGTCGCTATACTTTCTCCCATCACTCCAACTTCGTTTTTTTCTTTGCTTCTTTTAATGGAGGATTATCCACCAAAACAGTTGCAACAGTTGCATCCATCAACTGGAGAGCGGTGGTTCCTGTAGGTGGGGTGGTGGCCCTAACTTGGTTTCTTTTTCCTAGATTTTTTTACCTTTTTTTTTTTGTAGCTGTAGTTGTCAACACAAAAGTTTGCCGACCAAGGAGGTTGGCGGGATAAAAGCAGAAGAAATCTCAGCAGGCGGCGCCCAGTTGAATGAACTCAACGGAAAAGCTGAAAAATGGTTCAGTTTTGTTGGTCTTGCTGCTCGCATTTTTGTTGTATTTTTTTTTTGTTGAGTTTTTGCGGCCAGGTATTGATGATGTTGCCAACGCAACGCAGCCAGTTCCCTGTGAAAGGAAACGGGGCCAGACACAAACGCTGGGGCAAAATCAGACTACAGAATAGCAGGAGAATAGCAGCACAAAGCACTGTGGAAAGCAGGAAACGAGCCACAATAGGACAACACACGGGATGTGATGGCATGCACTCGAAAAAATATTTCTAAAAACACCTGTAACTCTCAGCCTAACTCAATTTGCCTTAAACTTAATTAGGAAATATTATTTAATGGGCTTTTTACATTGAAAATGCAGTATGCGTTCAAATATCTTTCATACAATTTTAGATCTCTATTAAAAGAATTATTTGGTAAGAAATGCACCTCGAAATTTAATTTATAATTGTTAATATTAACTATAACAACGCTTTTAAAACTTTATAAATTCAGATATATACAAAATATATCCCTACATTTAAAAGAGAATTCAATATGATTTTCTTTAGTAATTTAAAGCAAACACTTACATTGAAATTGAAATGTAATTTTAAAAAAGTTTAACATTTTTTACAAACATTAAAAAGAGTGATACATTTAAAATATTTTTTAGAAACATTTATAAAATGAGTAAATTTCAGTTTACAATTTTTTTTAGTTCATATATTTTTTAAATCATATTTAGCTAAACCTTTGTCCTTTTTAAATACGATTGATAGATACTATCTATTAGATACATAGATTTATAGCATAGCATTTATTTCCCGTGTGCGTTTTCAGATGTACCGCCACTGGGAGATTGGAAATGGGAGGGATCGCTCGTAGCAAAAGGAGGTGGAACACCAGCAATTGGAATAGGAACTGTCTTAATCCCACAATCAATGGATAGTGAGAGGCAGAAATACGCTCCAGCAAACCATCGAAACCATCTGCGAAAACCAACTAAGAATCGATCGATTGTGCTGTGCGGGGGAGCTGGGCAGATCATCGAGGAACTACAAACATCCAATTGCATCCAGCAGATGCAACTGCTGCAGAAGCAGTCGCTGCCCTGGGGAACATTTTCATCACATGCTGGCTAACATTTGGTAGCATCTCCATTGGGGCACCATTGCTCCAGCCCAGCTTCTCCCACTTGTAAGTCAATGGCGTGTAAAATAGCTGGCGGGCATTGTCCGGACATTTGGACGGCGAACAGACCGTGGACACACGGATGGACAGCCGAAGAAACGAGACGAGACGGCTGCTGACTTTTGCATATCCAGCCAGTCAGAGATGATCGATCGGAGTCACTTCTTACACGATCAAAAAAATATTTTTCAAAATTAAAATAAGTTGTATAACATACAACAAAAAAATACATATGTATATAGTTTTTACAAAGCATGGGAACTACATAGGATATGTATTCGAAAAACATCACTATTGTTGGAAACCCTTTAAAATATTAAAACATGACACCATTTCGAAGTTTATATTTGAGATGGTCACACTAAAAAAAGAGAAATAAAGTATTATACCCAACACGTTCTTCTATTAGTTTATATTTGAGATGGTCACACTAAAACAATAAAAATGAAGTATAAAATCCCTGTTTCGAACCCAACAAGTTTTTATACCATTCCTAGGGTGATGTTATCCATGTAACCATTCCAATACCTAGCTCATCTCTAGCAGCTGGCGGGGATCTCTGGAGCAAGTGAGCGGCAGCAATTGAGTTGATCGAGGAGCCCCGAGCCATAAGTTGCATGTGGCTGGAAAATCAGAAGTTAAGCAGACGCGAAATGCAGCTGCCGTTCGATCGCCAGATCGAGATGATCATGATTATGGGGATCATAATTATGGTGTTGTTATGGGTTCTGAAAGCCTGTTGTTGTTGTTGTTGTCGTTGCCACTTGTGTTGGCCGAGCTGTGCTAAAATTTAATAAGTGCTAAAATAATCATCGCTAGCTTTATGCAAACTTGTTGCAATCATTATGTGCTATTGTTGTAGTTCTTGTTGGCCGAGTCAATGAACTTGGCCAGTACTCGCAGTGGTTGCTGTTGTTCTGTTTGTGCAATGTGTGTAATTCAAAGCGAAATTATAATGTTGAAAAAATTGTGGCCAGCGAAAAACGAGTTGTACACCATGCCCAGTTCTATTCCCATTCCCCCCATTTCATAAACTACTACTCCAATGACCCCACTTCCTATGCCCCCTATTACTTCGTCCCTTTTAAAATTCCCTTGCATGGGGTACTACATTTTTAACAGACTTATGTTATTAATATTA